ATTTCTAGGCCATGTCACAGTGTGAATGAATTGTTTGTATTCATGATTTATACAAATACATATTTATTTAGATGTTTAATCTGTTAATGATAAAGTCTTGCAAAGAACAAAAGAAAAGAAAATCATGAAGATTTTGAAAATAAGTATATAAAATATCACAAGGAACATTTTAACTGTGCCAAAAGAATTCAATGTTGCAAGTGTACAAATAGAAGCTCCACCAAACAAATACAAAAAGTGTTCTATCCCTAAGTTGTGAATCCTGAGGTTTATTTTACTAATACATATATTCAAAAGAGTTTAACATACAAAAATTAAAAATAAACAGTAAACATTTGAACTATATATATATGTATATATATATATGTGTGTGTGTGTGTGTGTGTTGACTGGAATGAAAGTGATTTTTTGGTTCACAAGGAAATGTTAATTGAGATGATTCACATGCTGTAACATGTTTTACATTTATAGCACATTGTCAATAACACTGAATGTCAATTTAGAGGTATAAATAAGTCTTTGCCTCACATGTCAACTGTATTCCAAGAAAAATATGTATTCATGTGATATTGTAGCTAGTGGATATGTTTATTATGGATTAAAGTTTAGAAAAAAATAACTTTGTTTTTATTTTTCCGGATGAGTAAAAATATCACATTCCCCAGTATTCATTCTATGATTGTTTTTACAACATAGTGTAATGTTTCAGCATCATAAAATTTATTTGAAACAAAAAGATTGTAATGCAACATACATATGTTTATATTTTCTATCTTAAAGAACTGCTGCTAGGATCTTGTATAGATCACATGGTAGACAAGTGCTATTCAAGGATTTGATAATAAAAATAAATAAAAATAAATAAAAATAAAAAACTCTGTTCATACCACCCTATAGGATTTATTTTTTCTAATTAAAAAATCAAATGTGATATTTCAGAAACCTTTTATTTCCATACATAAATCAAAGCAAGGTTTAGCTTTGAAAACTTTTGACTTTGATGGGTATCAAGCTTTACTATAAGTTATTTTACAAAATTGATAGAATTTTATTTACATTATGAGATGCATGGAATTGGTATCTTTACTACATCCTTCAAGAAAACATTTGTCATACATCCTGGTAGCATAGATACCCAAAGACACATATATATATATATATATAAGTGTTGCAACTCCAATTAAAACCTTGAATTATTATTATAATGATTGTAAGAATCTAACATCACAGATGTTTGAGTGTAGAGCCCTCTACTACCTCTACAACCACAATTTCATCAGAGTACTGTTTGGAGCACATTAGAATATATCTAGCACTGATACATTAAAAATAGCCTGTGCAATTTTTTGTGCAAGAGGAAGATGACATAATCTCTTGATTTTGACATGGCTCAAATGGGAGGAAATAAGAATTTCAAGAGAAACATGTTTAATGAGTAAAGGAAGAATTGGAGACAAGCAAGAGGACACTAGTTGGAGGAAGACTTCATTGAACATCAAAAGGGATGCTTTAGAAGCATTGGATTAAGGTTGTGTGATGCTGATGAGGATCATGGCACTTCACAACAAAGCCTTGCTTTTGACGAAATCCATCCACAGTTGCACCCTGTGAGTATTCCCAAACATGGGGCACAACATGTAAGTGGGGAAGAGCTTTGCCATGGATGAACGAATGTGAAAACACAAAGTGATAGATAAACACATCCAGTAGGACCTAGTGCCAGGGATAACTTCCCACTTTAGGACTCCACTCAGCCAGTTCTGTTGCTTTTAGGGTAATTGCTGTGCAGCGCAGGCAGGCAAACAGAGCAGAACAGAGGTGGCCAGATGATGGAAGGGATACTTCCATTGGAGAGCCTTTTTCCTTCACAAAGGACCAGAACTGGCCAATGCTCATGCGAGGCATGGAGCATTGTCAGTTGATCAGTTGGTATTTCAAATGGAATTGAAGCTTTGGTAAGCAATCAGAACCCCATCCTACCACTAAGCACTTCCCATTGTGGAAGGGTTCATGGACATGAAATGCTTGCCCCCCCCTGCAACACCTGGTCATATCTTTTGCCACACAGTAAGTTCACATTTGAACTTGGATCTCCTATGCACATGTGGCAAACTATTGTCACATATTGTTTCTTCTTTGTCTCTAATTTATGTCTTTATTATTATTATTATTATTTTATAGAATATTAATATAAAATATAGATTTAGATTTAGATTTTCGATTTCATGCATACTTACATGATAACTAAGACCATGTTTAAAACAATTAAATTCTTTCCAGTGTACTAATTCCATGACAAATAAATTCCATGCAGGAGTAAGGCATTTGGACCATTATATCATTTGAGATTGTTTAGACCTTCCTTTACAACAATAAAGAATACAAATAAAATAAAAGTTAAAATTAGTAAATACTGGGACAATCTTCATGGTACTGTTTTTTATAAAAGAAATATTAATTACACTTTTAAAAAAAAACATATATATATATTAGTATTATTTTATTTATTTATTTCCTGACAGCAAAATTTGGTCCTATTCATCTTTTTAAACCAAAACATGATGAGTTTATATCTATGAAAAGAATTCATTGGCTTAGTTACTGTCGTCTCCTATGAACATACAAAGAAATCACATTCTTTTCAGTTGTAGAACTTGACCTAACAACAACAACAACAACAACAACAAAAAATAAATAAATAAAAAAATAATAACTCCAATTTTTTTCATCAAATGTAAAATCAAGTTGTTTCATTTCAAGGTTAGTTGCTAATAAGTAAATGGAAAGAAAGAGAATTAGATGATACTGGAATGAAATATGAACTGTTCTCAGAGATACCAATTACACAAGATTACATTTTATTTATTCCCTTAATAATGGAGATATGAAAAAATATGTGCTGCAGATTTTCTAGGGGGTGTTTAACCACATTTACTGAAATGCTTTAAGAGAATCATCAGAAATTGGAAATTTACATGACACTGGAATTTTTTGCTAAGAAAAATTGAATTGATTCAACAACTGTTTTCTTAGACAAAAATGCAGTAAAGAATTTACAAATCCTTAGTTGTAATGCTGAGCTCTCATTCTCTTACACCCATTCTTCCAAACTACAACTACCACCTTCTTCACTATTGTGGTCCAATTAACAGAATGTCCCCACACTGTTACAATGTATTAATCTTTTGAGGATTTGCTTTGCCATGGTGACTCTTGTCTACGACACAGTTTTTCAACACACAACCAATGCAATGAACTTTGTAAATACTTTGTAAGAATTACTAATTATAACTAAAAAAAATTATTAAAGCATGAAGTAACCATTGTAGCAATATTTTTTTCTTTCCAAAATAAATATTTATATTACTAAGCATCAGCTCTAAAACTTTTTTTTAAAAAAAAATCTTTTGAAGGGTTCTACATCCATATTTTTTATAATATATTAACCATTTAGATTCTTCTTGCAATATTTCATGAACAATTCCTTGTGAATTGAATCCATAAAATAAAAAATTAAGATTCTTGCTGAATACTATGCACAAAAAAAGCCATGAAATCTTATTTCAAGCTCCTGTCTTCAAACTGGTTGATGATGATCAAAGGTTTGAAAATTTTGGTATGATGCAAAAAGATTTATATATACATAAAAGCTAAATTTGCAACTTACATTAAAACCTAATGAAAGGTTCATTATTAACCAAATAATTTTATTATTAATAAGAAGAAATATTTATTAGTAGTTGTTTATTTTTAAAATGCGTTTCAAGCAGGCAGGAATTGGATTATATTCAATTTACTTTTTGTAATGTTTAGCCATCCATACCAACCTTTTTGAATGATTTCAAAAACATGTGATATTAATCTAGTCCATTGAATGATCGAATGTGATTGTTTTGCTAGAATTGGACAGTTTCTATGCTTGAAATTGGAGCTAAATTCTCTATGCTTGTTGTAAGGTGGTGAAGTGTTTGTGTTTACAGATATTAAAACTGTCGTGTTACATATTGATTCTGTGTGCTCCGAAGAGGGTGGGCTCAAACCTGCGCTAAGCACCGACTTGACTGGTGGTATGCTGAATAGGCTGCACTTATGGGATCATTCGTCGCTGCTTCACAGACATGCTTCCTTGTGATGTAGAACTGCGAGGAAGGGTGGGGGGAGGGCAGAGAGACTCACGGGGGATTGGTTGGTTCATCAAGTGATGGAAAACTTTGTACGCACGGTTATTTTCGGGGCACCGCAAGCAAGCAAACAACGGGGGACGGGGATGGGGACGGGAAATTGGGCGGAGGGCTCTGGGTCCTCCTCCTCAAGTGGGCATCGCAGCGCCATTGTTGTGACGGCATCCAAATCCACGAGGGGAAAAGGCAGAGGGAAGATCTGGGAATGGCAGGGCCTCATCTAGGCAGGAAGGAAGGAAGGAAGGAAGGAAGGAAGGAATCGGGGAGCCATCCAGTCAGCCAGCCATCCAGCCAGCGGTGTCACTCGGGTCTCGCGTGGGCGAGGGGCGGCTAGGGGCGGCGAAGGGGGGGGGGACGGAGCGACGAGGGGAGAGGAGGGAGGGAGGGGCCGGACTCGACCAATGCCAGAGACCCCCCCCCCTCCGGGTTCCACTCCTTTCCCCAGGGTCTCAAAGGCTGTGGATCCTGCCCTCCCTGCCTGCCCTCTTATCATGATGCTGCTGCTGCACGCCTCTCTCTCATAGTCCGGGCAGAAACCCCCCTCCCCTTTGTTGCGGAACAAGGCATCGGCCCTGTCCGCCGCAATGCTGCCCGTGGCTGTGCACCATTGGAAAGGAAGGGTGGGGACCGGGCGGGGAAGATGCTGTTGAGCATAGGGTTTGTCCCGTGTGCTCTCTCTCTCTCCCCACCCCCCCCCCCCCCGGGCCCGTTCTTTCTTTCCTTCCCTTCCCCTCTCTTTGCTTTTCCTTGCTTTTGGCGCGACTGGGCCAGAAAGAGCAGACACGGGCCATTGGGCATCGGGGCAGGCTGGTATAAGACACCAGTCGCCAGCAATCCCCTCTCACGACTCCGTCGCTCCACCCAGCGCTGATGATGTTGTGAACTGCTCTGTCTTCCCTGCCCAAGCTTACCGCTCCCAGCGCCTCCACCGTCATTCCCTTCCACTTCTCATGCTTCTTTACCAACCCTATCACGCTTTTACACCTTTTAACCCCCCTCCCCCTCTCACCCTCCTCACACATACCCCAGCGCCCGAGCGACATTGAGAGAGAAAGAGCGCAAATGAGAGATTGAGTTGTCCCTGGTCAGTCCTGTGGTGGTGCTTGCTTCTACCCTTTTCTTTCCTAACCTTGTTGGATGAGAGGCTTCTTGTTGTGTTTTGGTGCTGCATTTGTACATGAGGTGAGTAGGCGATACGCAGTGGAAGAATTGGGAATTTCGCTGGGTAGGGAACCTTGGGTTGGATGCTGAGATTGTTGTGTCGTTTTGAGAGCAGCGCAGCACTGAAATTTGTCGAAATTTAGGAAAGAGAGCAAACGATGGGGTTCTGCGTTGTAAGAAAGGTTGCTTTATAACACCAACAGCGTTACGAATCGGTCCCAGGGGTGAATCCGGCTCTGCGAGCTGTGATCTGTTGATCTCACTGGCTCAAGAAGCACTAAAACATTTTGGGTTGCTTGAATTTTAGGTTCATCGTGGTTGCGAGCTGCGTACTTTAGCAAGTGTTCTGGAAAACTTCGGGTTTCTGAGGCATTGAACTACCTGGAGTGAGATTTTTTTGGGAATTTGAAAGAGAATTACATATATACAAGGTTGAGGCTCACCGAGAACAAGTCTGCTGATAGCTTCTTCACTCTTGAAATAGATAGTTCATCATGGATTCAGGAGGTGACCGCGTGCGAGCTCCTCAGAAGCAGTCTCGCGAGGAGGATCAGTACCGTTCATTGAACATTGCTACAGAGCATCGTCAGCATATACAGAAGCACCAACAACACCAACAGCAGCCGGGGACTGGATTGGTTGTTGAAACGCTTCAAAAAACACTATGTAACGTGACTGTGACCTCACCTACAAGCAGTCCGGAGGGGGGTAGATTACGTACTGTTGCGAACAAGTATGCAGTGGAAGGAATGGTCGGCAGTGGCGCATTTTGCAAGGTGTACCAGGGTTCTGACTTAACCAACCATGAGGTTGTGGGCATCAAGCTCGAGGATACAAGAACAGAGCACGCACAATTGATGCACGAGTCGCGATTATACAACATTTTGCGGGGTGGAAAGGGAGTGCCCAACATGAGATGGTTTGGGAAAGAGCAAGACTACAATGTGATGGTGCTAGATTTGCTGGGGCCTAACCTACTGCACCTTTTCAAGGTGTGTGGGCAAAGATTTTCGTTGAAGACGGTGATCATGTTGGGGTACCAAATGATCGACCGGGTGGAGTACGTGCACTCGCGAGGTCTAGTTCATCGTGACTTGAAACCAGATAATTTCCTCATGGGCTGCGGCCGGCAAGGGAACCAAGTGTTCATTATTGACTTTGGCTTGGCAAAAGAGTACATCGACCCCGCGACACGTAGACACATTCCTTACCGAGATAGAAAGAGCTTTACAGGAACAGCGCGGTATGCTAGTAGGAATCAGCACAAAGGAATCGAACACAGCAGGAGAGATGACATAGAATCACTTGGTTACATTCTTATGTACTTTCTTAGGGGGAATTTACCATGGCAAGGTCAAGGGGGGCAACGTTTCACCGATCAGAAGCAACATGAGTACATGCACAACAAAATTAAGATGGAGACTACCATCGAGGATCTCTGCGATGGGTACCCCAGACAATTTGCCGACTTTTTACACCACGCGCGCGAGTTGGGATTCTATGAGCAGCCTGACTACTCGTACCTTCGCAGCCTGTTCCGTGATCTTTTCATTCAGAAGAAATTCCAGCTTGACCATGTCTACGACTGGACAGTGTACACTCAACCTCCTCAGAATGGCTCTGCACAAACAGTTCGAAGCCCGGCTGCCGGTCCACAGACTCACTTACAAAGTCGCCCTTCCAATGTATCATATTGTCCACCTCTGACTAAACCAGAGTTCCGGCGTGAGGTAGTTGCGGCGAATTAGGGTTTACACAGGAAGAGATGTGGTAAAGCATCTCATCTTCTTCGTTCTGGTGCCAAAATGGTACAAGGTCGTCTGCTGTCTCTTTCTCGCAAGCCCTCACATATAGATGAAGGTTTGTGAAGTTAGAGATGCAACTACCAAGCAAAGGCTAGGAAAAGAGCTGTAGACTTTCTAGTGTGTAGTGTGTAAATCAAGGCTTCTGGCATGGTATCGGCAGTCAGGTGCATGGAGCAGAATAGAAATTACTTCGTGCATGACAAGATTTTTTTTCTTGCAGAGCTCTCGACGGTTCTGCGATCTCACTTCTCTACACAACCAGCGCTCCTTTAATTGAAAAGAGGATCTGGTACGAGTATGATAAAGTTAACACAGATTACTAGTTCATTTCTTCCTCGTCTTCCTTGCTTTGGTACTTCATGACGGTCTTTATTTTAGTTTATGGGAGTTTGTCTTCTGGACTGCCTCGTCTCCTTAAAACGTACTTAGAAAATGCACGTACAAGGTCGTCAAGTCTCAAGTATGGAGATGTTATGGCTCCGACCCAGCCCGCATCGACGTTATCTTCGGTGAAACTGAATCCTCTTTTTCTCATGAGGAACCAGCTTGCGAACAGATGTTTTTCCACCTTTATCGCGTTTTTCCATCTCTAGTTCTCTTATCCTTGTCAGTACTTAGAAACCCGAAGCTAGACGTTCGCACATACAAGCGATCCCAGGCATCTCGCATCCACTGGACGTTCCAGATATTTTGGCGATGTGATTCGAGTCTGCTATGAGTTGTCCTCTCTTTCAGTTCCATTGGCCAGAGAATCACTTACTGTAACAATGCTGGTAATCAGCTCTCTTTTCTTCCTTATCGTTTTCAGGGACTAAAATTACGTATTACCAATGAACCGTTATGGTATTATGCCACTTAATAAGGAAAACCAGCTGCTAGTTGCAAATTATTCCTTCTATTTTTGATGCTCCGTGTATAACAAAGGGCATGCCTTCAACAGAATTAGAATCAACAGCCTAATATAGTAGGAAGGACACCTAATTGATCGTGTGAAGTTTAAATATTTGCTGGGTGTGCTAGCAAACACCCTCATCCTGGATAGCATTGTGTTCCTTTTATTTTATTGTTTTTCCACAGTGATAGTGGTAACGATGTAAGGCTTGCCCATCAACTAAAAATAACAAACTGCAATAAGAGTTGGGGTTGGGGAAAGTGGCAACAACTGTAGACGTTGTCCGGATGGGTAAAACTGCAATTGAGAGCAAAATGTGCACACTACTCAAACAAAGGAAAAGTCCAGCCTCCGCTGTGAGCAGAGATAATTTTTTAATCGTGTGGGGTGGATGGAGAGTGTATGTGTCAGCCCAGTCAGCCCTAAATACCATGTTAGGAGAAGGAAGTTAATGGAAAGAAGGAAGGAGGGGGTGGGGCAAGGGAGGTGCATGATGGTTGTGCACAATGCTTCTGCTGCTGCTGCTGAAATTCTTTGCTGCTGTCCCTATTATGTGCCAGGCTCTCCTCCACATGAAGGTGATGATCTCATCCTGAGCAGACAGCAGCAGGTGGAATTTCCCCTCTTTTGGTGAAATGTCCACAGCCAGGACATAAGCAAATTCCATTAAGCAAATTCCATTAAGCAAATTCCATGTAAGGCTGTTCCATGACACAGGCAGGTTTGCCCAGTTGCCAACCTGGATTCAACTGCAGTCATATGACAAAGTTCTTTATCATAGAGATAGAAGATCATGGGGTTTACCATGTGGCTTTGGTGTCTCCTTTTCTTCTCTTCCTTATCTCTTTACTCCAACCTCTTGACTTGATGCAAATTATATAATATCATTGTGCTTTGTAAGCTGTCACAAAAAAGCACTCAAAGTGATCATTGATATAAGAGTGGATTTCATCCTGACATGTAAGTTAAAAGTGATGGAGCCAGCCTGATGACAACGTCTAACCAACAACCTCTAACTGCACAAAGGAATTTTCTAGACCTCTATTCATTATTTTATTGAAAAGGGTACCTGCAAGACAGGTGCTTGAGAAGCAATGGACCAGATTACTACATCCAGCATATTGGGAAATTGCACTGCATGTCATGACAAGATTGAATTTGTCAATGATACAATTGATTTGGCAGGACAGTTGCAGACCTAATCTTGAATGAATCTGGATGAGAAATAAACATTCTTCCATTGCTATGTGCATTTGTTCATGCAACCTCCCCTTGGTAATTCAGGATTTAGGAAATCAAATGAAGGATCAGATTTTTCCAAAAATATTGCAACAGAGGCCACAAGGAGATTGCCATATTTGTGGACAACTTTTACCTGGGTAGGAGCTCAGGAGTGTTCCCCACTGCCTGGGTCCACCCAGTTGCATAGGCATCGTTCATGTGATCATGAAAAAGTACCACAGGCTCTTGCTTTTTGTGGAGGCTACTCAGCAACTGAGCCATGTCGGGGAATATGATTTTAAGTGGAATTGGGTGAAATGCACATGGGCACTTGCCTGGGAAAGGCAACAGTAGGACAGAGCATAAGCACAGAGGACACAGCCACAGCATATCACACAGTTCCATACCCAACTTTCAATATTTAAATGATTGTTCCTACTACTCCACACACAAGAATCCTTTTTATGAACTTATGAGAGTGTTCCCACTCTTGACCTGAGCCTTCTCCTCCTCCTCACAATTCACACAAATTCCCAGCTATGTCTGACTTCCTCCAGGAGAAACACAGGCTTCTGCACAAAAGTATTTCTTTAATGTTAATATTAATAATAATAATATTATCATTAAATAAATAAATAATAATTAACAAACTCATGTAATATTGATGCTTAGGGTAGTATAAAAGTAGATGCTCCAAATTGACTTTGAGGATAGCAGAGAAAAATTCATTATTAAACCCAGAAAATTTGATTTTGGGATGGCCCTCGAGCTGAGAGCTGACTTTAATGTACTAATGGTATACTTTCTGAACTTGGGAATCAAATCAAATATTTTTATTATTATTCAGACATATAAAAAAACCTTTGTATATATGTGTGTACATACACACATCCACACCACTGCTACTACTTCTACTATACATATACTTGCCATTCTTGAAAAATTAGAAGCTAACCAGAAAAAATAAATTCCCTTCTTTTGACTTTTATAGATTTGTGAGGTTGAAGAAATCAGATGATCTTGTTCTTTTCTAGTTTTAAAAGGTCAAAAATAAATTTTAAACATGCTGTTTGGAAACATCATGTCAAACACGATAGTATAGGAACATCAAACAACCCAAGTAGAAACATCATTATTTCCACTTGTAAAATCTCATATAAGAGCTTAAGATTAGACTAAGAAATTAGAACCACACCAAATACTTAGCACCAACAAAATCCTCCATCTATCTTCTAAGAGCTTTTGCACTACTCTAAAATACTAATATTAGCTCTACTTTAACAAAGTACTCCACATTGATGTACCTCCTTTTTTAAGGACAAATCCCACAAGGAACAGTCAATACATGTTGAGGAAGTCTAAGATGCAAAAAATTATATTTGTTTTATATTTTAATTTTTATTCTATTTGAAAGTAACCAATAAGTTCTTTCACCTATCGATAATGTTCCATATTAAATCCAAAAGCTCACTCTATTATTTGATCTTTGTTGAGGCTTTTATAACTTTTTTCAAATAAAATATTATAATTACCACCAAAGATTGTTCCTACCTCCAATAACATTACCAAACACTGAGAGTCTCTTCCAAGGTTGTAATACCAAATATGATGTATCTTTCCATATATTTGAAGAAGAACTTGTTGTTTTTGAAGGTCTCTATATCTATTATGTCATCTTAAAGGTTGTGACAATCTCAATGATGCATTTGATAATTGCACAAGTAATAGCTCTTAAGTTGAATTAACTAGTTCTTGATTTTTCATCTCTTTAGTGCTACAAATTTATAAAAAATTATAAACAATGATAATTAATATAATTTAATTTTTATTAAACATTATTTTCTTTTATAACAAGGAATTAGTTATTTTTTTGATTTTGATTTTGATGGATGTTGTTAATAGAAATCTTTGACCCTTTTTATTATAATTGTAAGATTGATTTATGATTTTAATGTATATTTATTAATATCATATTGCACCAATGTATAAGATATTCCAACTTATTTTAGCACCACCTTTAATCTAAAACTTCTTCAACTTCAACCTCTTTATTATCATTTATTTTTATAGAAGAAGAAAATATTTATATTTTTTTCAATATATCTACTATCTTATAAGGGTTAAGAAGAGATATAGTATATATAATTAATTTGCATCATTTTTGGTAGTTATTAGTAATAAGCATCTAAATTGATTTATTTACAAATAGAATATAGTCAAAGTTTATAGTAATCCAACTTCTAACAAGAGTGATTAGTTTTGAAATTACAACAAAGTAATCATATCTTCATGTCAACATCAAATTGAACTTATCTCACAAATATATAAATATGAATATAAATATATATATATATATATATATATATATATATATAATTAAAAAATTATCTAAATATTATGAATAAATGAAAGTAGATTAATTTGATAATATCTTATAGAAAAGCTTCCTAGAAGCTTCATAGACATGGTTTCATCTTTATATATGTCTATAGGTGATTGGTAGGTTAAAAATTTGGCCAACAAATTAGCCACATATTACATGTATTGGTAGCTTGTAGTACAAGCTTACAATATAGCGCACATATAAGAAACTTGCTTTTTAAGTTCAGATATTTGTCTTATTGGAGATTCTATAGAATGTTGTTACACAGCTTTTAGTTAGATAATATATATAGAGGCAAGAATAAAACCTTCTTCACTCTTGTCAATGCCTTTTTAGTCATTAGTCTTATTTCAAGACTTTTTAGTCTTCTTGTCTTTGGTTATAGCCATTCTAATTTCAATACTATATTAGTTTTGAGTAAATATCTATTTTTTTGAGTTACACAAAGTATATTTAGTTTTTGGTTCTTTGAGATTTATGCCTTTGATAGTTTGACAAGCGTGCTAACTTATTATTCTTGTCTTATTTTAAGAAGTAAATGAATTATCTCACTTTTATTGTTGCATTTTGAAGATTACAAACTATCCACCTTCAATCTAATATTTTAGTTTTTTAACAATATATATATTTTTAAAGAGAACAAATTACTATCTTTTATAGAAATTTTTTATTTGATATTAGAGATTATAGATTATCTTCCTTTAATTTGATTTATATATTTTTTTAGTTATCTATAGAAGGAAAAATTATAGATGCTATTCTTTACAAAAATGATAATAGATTTGCAACCATTGCAGATCTTCTCGAGCTTATAAATATTCTAAGAGTAGAAATTTTACATATCTCTAATATCAACCATGGAAGTAGTATTCATATTCCTATGGAACTTTTCAATAATGAAGTTCAAAATCTATACTAAAAGTTGTGCAATTGAGAGAAGTAAGTAGATTAAGTTTATAATTAAATTCAAAAAATCTTGCTACTATAAGTATGAAGGAGGCACAGATAAGTATGTCGAAGTAGATTTATAAAAAAAATTAAAGTGTCAAGGGTTTCTACAAGAAGTAAAGCTCTATCTAAGGTTGTATCTTTCTCAATATACTTATGGATTTAGTTGTGAATTCTTAAGTATAAGTTTTATTGAGAAAGTATATTTATTTATGGAAAAGAATTCACAACTAAATCCTACTTTCTCAATACATCTTTCTCAATATACTTATACTTAAGAAGCCCCTTAACATGCATGAACCTTATTGTATATTGATGCTTAATCTAAATTAAAATCCTACACAACTTGTCACTATCTAAGCTATGAACTATGAAGATTTAATATGGAGCAATCAATAATAAACTTAATTATCTTCTTATAATCTACTTTCCACTTATTTCAATACTCATTAAACATCTATTGTATTAGTAACTTATCAAAATTCATGTATCATCTAATAAAATATCTTTATTTGCTTAAGTATAGTTGGATTAGAATTGCTACATTTCCTATTCAACATTCCTTGTTTTTTTCCTCAAATTTACATTTTAAAGCAATCTCCTTAGATTTTGGCAACTTCTACTTAGTTTTTTTTGTCTTTGAAACAATCAAATACCACGTCTATAGGAGGTTTCTTCTTTATTAGCTACTTTCTAATAATTCTTAGCAACCACAATTCTCCTTCCCTACTAAGAATTGGCCCCTTTGGACTCTCTATGTAATCAACTACCACAAACCTAAAATCAACTTTGACAATATTAGTAGCAATTAGTAATTTTTTTTTACCTCATTAATATTTAGTTCAATCTAATACAACCACTATGCATTGACATTTGAACTTGCATTATCATAGCTTGTTATTAATCCTCTTATGGACAATTAAATCTCCTTCTTGCTGCCATGGACATATATATTTATTTCAATAATTACTTAGATAACATAAGTTTGTAGAAGTAGGTTAAAGTAGATAAAATTTAGGAAAAACTTCCAAAATATCTCAGTATCCTTGATAATAGCACACATACGCCTCAATTTTGCCATAATATCAAATCTACCCCTTTGTTTGATATCACAAAGTTGTGCTACGGGCGCCTTCTCTGCCGAGGTAGCAGCAGATAGGAAGCCTGAGTGAAATGAGGGAGGGGACATATGCTGCGGTTGCCAGGTGAAGGATTAAAGAGCTGGCTATGATCTGTGGGTAGAGAAGTATCGGAGACTTCCCCGCTAGGAATCGTCGGTGCTATGCTTCTCTATCCACACCTTCAACGACCTGATGTGGTGGCCTTGTGGGACTGACGATGAGCTGGGTCATTTGCCTCGGCAAGGCGCTTGAGCTTTTCTACGCCCGGAGGAACGAGACAGCTCGGGGAACTTTTGAGCCATGACCACATGCCAATGGTTCTTGACGGCGTTGTCTGTGCGCCCAGAAAACAGACGAACAATCATGGCCCATTTGTTGCCCTGGAACCGGTGAGCAGCAAGAAGACGCTCCTCTCCATCTTCAGTGAAAGGTCGACGATTGATCCAAAGATCTAGCTGATTGAACCACCGCAGCCTGCAGCTCTTCCCTGATAAGAAGGAAAACAAAAACAGCTCTAGTGTTAGGAACTGCACCAACGAATGCATCATCACAGTCATAAACATCATCGAGAATTAATGCAAATGTCGCCGTAGTTGTGGATAGCGAAGAGAGTCGAAGAGGGTATCCATCTGATCGGCCATGGAGTTTCTCAGCAATAAGGCTCCAGTTTTGCGGCCTATATTGAGACACAAGCTCCCTTAACTTCTCGTCTTTCGCAGGGCGCCAACGACCTCGGGGACACAGCTTGGATTGCACAGCACCGTCCATGGTGTCTCGTTCAACGGACTTGTGTTCCACGTCCTCGCTGATAGACTCTTTCATCTCGTCCATGCTGCCTTGATCCATGTCCTCATCACTGGATTGCTTAACCTCCTGGTTGTACCCCGAATGCATCCACCACATATGTCTCTCCTCCGACAGCATGACGTCTAGCGCCTGGAACGGGATTGCGCTGACCTTGCAAGCTACAGGCGTAACATCAGAGCCGGAATTAGAAGATCCTTTGACGTCTGTGATATATGTGGTGTCTGCAGATGTTTACAAAGTTGTTACCCCGGCCAGAGAGTAGCTTGCAGGGGTGGGACTGTGCGAGCTGGCCATGTGGTGCTGATGAGGGCTCAGCATGTATTAGGACTAAAGTTTAGATAATTTGGTGATTTATAACTCGGTGAAGCCACGCTTCTTTCCACCAATGTCACTACAGAAATGGGGGTTTTCTGAAGCTTGTGAACTGATTTGTAAAAATGGATCGGATTCAAGATTTTGTTTACCTAAGGTGCAGAGAATAATACCTCACACTTCAGGATATGTCAGGCCATTACCTGGCTTTCTAGCTAAAACCACTTGAGGGTGCTTGAAAAAATATTCAAATGTTGGGCGTATATATTTACTGGCTTTAGTTGAGTGTGATAAGTGATTTGTTTCTTCACTTCTCGCATTTCAATGCATTACTAAAGTTGCTTTTGCAGCACTAGTTTAACGCTTGCATACAGAATTAAGTTAAGAATGGGATTTAGAAGACATTCAACACGTGAAATAATGATCAGTGAACTTATCTAAACAACCGACCATTCGCAAGTCTAGATTTGTCTGCTCAGCTCGCATTCGAATTACATGAGCAAGATCATTCCTATTCTCTTGGCTCACACATATCTACACTTATTTCAATTAATACACATGGTGTGCAGATTTCGTTCAAGTGCGTACAGGACCTACAATTGCAATCAAAACATCATATAGCTACTTTACACAAGGGCAGTGACTACACACCCAGAGATTGATTAATGTTGTACTTGCGGCGATCCGAGGCAACTCACCCACATGGACGACGACTTCTTCAGCTTAGCGTGGCTCACACCTTCTCTCTTTCCAGCACGGAAGGGCGTGCTCATGACTCGGAACAATCGTCTAATGAATGAAGGGCTACTAGTGGTAGTACTATTTGGTGTAATGGGATCACCATCAGCGCCATTTGTGATGATCTCAGGGGTAGTGCTATTCTCTATCTCACCAATTTTGCTACATTTTTGTTCATCAGAATCTTTGTCTTCATTATTTGTTCCCACAACCAAGGAATGTTCAACCATGCCTGCATCCTCAGTTCGATTTTCAAGTGCACTTTCATGAGGTGCCTAAGCTTCGCAATCAAGCTTTGGGCAATTCTCAAAATCCAAAGCCAGCTTCGCCAATGGTGCAGACACTGCTGCTTCCAAGATCCCCCACAAACTTCGATAAAGACCAATAGATTAGCTCTCGTCGTACAAGCACTTTCTAGGAATGGAAAAGAAACACAGACCTAAGGTTCAAGTCTAATTTAGTTTTCTCATCGTCCCACACAGAATGCGAGCTTTGACCTCTTCCAAATAATAAACCAGCTCTATCCGACGACATTGTATTTCGAGGACCAACGGTGCTATACTTGCTCACATCATGCACCTAGATCACTTGTTCACTCTCCCCCACCCTACTCCAAGACGACCGAGGAAGAGAAGGGAGGTGATTGCCGTAGAAAAGGTGCCCAATAGCACAATGCTGGGGATGCAAGTGCAAAATCAGACAAAAACAACACACACAAAGAGACTTGCTGCACGCAGGCTTGGAACCATTTCAATGTAAAATAGAAAATTTGTGATAAGTTATTAGATATAGGGGTAGATTTGATATTATGACGAAATTGAGGGATATGTGTGCTATTATCAAGAATACTAGGGTATTTTTGATATTTCAAAAAAAAATTAGGGATACTTTTGAAATTTTTCTTAAAATTAATAATATCTTATAGAAAATCTTCTTAAAAGATTTATAGATACAACATTGCTTTTTATACATGTCTATAGGTGATTGGTAGGTTGAAAACTTGGCTAATAAGTGGGCCATGTATTGTACATGTTAGTGACTTGTAGTACAAGTTAGAAATGTGGTGTACAAATAGGAAGCTTGTCTTATAAGTTAGGTACATGTCAGGTTAGTTGGTCATGTGTTGAAGATTCTATAATACATTTTCATATGGCTCTTATTTAGATAATATATATAGAGGCAAGAGTGATGCTTTCATCATACTTATCAATTCTTTTCTTGTTTTTAGTTTAGTTTTAAGGATCTTTAGTTTTTTTGTATTATCAATTGATTTTCTTTTGACAATAGCTATTTTAGTTTTTTTTCAAATATACATATTTATTTATTTCTATTTTTTATCTTTCTTTTAAATTTTTTTTATTTATTTATTTACCTATATTAAGCTTTTATCTTTAATAAATTAATAAGAATATACTTATAATATCAAAGCCTTATTTTTTAAATTAAATATAGATTATTATATTTTCTTGATAAAATATAAGTATATTAGAAGTTGTGGATTACCTTCTTTTAAATTGATATTATTCTTAGTATTTTATTTTTATTTTTATATTATTATATTTTTAATTTTTAAGTCTTTTTTTTTTTTTACTTTTCTTGAAAAATATTAGATATCTTCTTTTTTCTAATGTTATTATAGCAGAGCTTATTGAAATGAAAAAAAATAGTACAAATACAAGAAAAATTAAAAGAATTAATGCTTGTAATGTATCGACTTAATTTACCACCAAAAAGAGCAATAAGATTGGTAGGAAGTGAAAATATAATAATGATTGAAGTTTCTTTAATATCTACATGAAATATTATTATTTTTCTTATAGTGGAATATCTTTTAGGTATCAAAGAACTAAGAGTTGCATTACTTGAGCAGTTTGATGGTACAAGATGAAAATTTTGAAGATCCATCAATCAAATACAATTAACAATCAAACTTCAATTCCAAAGCTATCCAACTTGAAGATCATACATCAAGTTTATTGGTACACTTCTTTTACATTTTACTTTATTATGTATTTTTTATGTTTTATTGAATGATATGATTTAATATTGAATAATTTGGAGGATTTTTTAATTGAGTTTTAATCTATGTATGGAAAACATGATTCAATTTGTATTCCAACCAATAAGATGTATATCTTGAAATAAGACAATTAATTGATAACATTGTATGTTTCACAATTTTGACATCCAATATTAAGTAGAATGATAGTACATTCATTAGCTAATTTTTCTACAAATTATAATATGAGGTAAAGAAATTGATATTCAACTTATTTGATTCTCAAATATTGAGTTAAGTAATTGACTTTACTATAAAGTGTGATGATTGATTTTTTAAATTTTGATTTGAGAGTTGTATAAATAGGCCTCAATATTTTTATAATTCAATAGAAATACCAATATTTTTTCAACATATATATATTAAAAATTAAAAGACATACAAATTCACATAGTACTTTTCAAACCTTTTATTAAACAAGAAAAGATTTTTTGTAAAAAAAAATTATATTTATATTATAAAAAATCTTAGTATACTCTAATATTATTCAAAGAAGTAATGTAACTATAAAATAAAGAATATGGTTATCAACAAAGATAATATGTTAGAATTTGTATTCAAAGAAGTAATGTAACTAAAATTATTCATGTAGAAGTTATAGATGGTCGTCTATTATCTTTTAAAGATATTATTCATAAAATTCTTTCTATAAGAGTAGCAATTATTGATCATAGTAGCTTTGTAATATTTAATATAATTATATTTTCTTTTAATCTAGCCATTTTAGGATTATTATAGTTAAAAAAATATAATCCTTGAATAGATTGAATTTTTGATAATATTAAATATTTTTAGAGTATTATTAAGAGTTTTAATGATTTAATAGAAAGTCAAAAGTCTAATGCAACCAATTTTTTTTTATAGGTACAAGAGCTTTCTACATGTTGTAAAAAAAAGATCACTTTATGTTATTTATGTCACACTTGTTTCTAATAATGAAAAAACTTCAAGTAGATTTTTGAGCTAATATTAAGATTATTAAGATATTTTTGAAATAAAAAATATAAATATTCTTTCAAGGTATTATCCCTATGATTGCTCAATTAATCTTCAAGAAAGAATTCAATTGCCATTTAGATCAATCTATAATTTATTACAAAATGATTTAACTAAATTCAAGAAGCACTTTGATGAAGATCTACCTAAGAATTTTATATGCAATTCTAAATTTCTAAGATGAATTCTTATCTTATTTATAAAGAAAAAAGAGAGATCACTATAAATATATATAGATTATCAAGGATTCAATAAAATCACTATAAAAAATAGATATCTTTTATCTTTGATATGAAGACTTTTAAGTTAATTGAATTAAGCTAAGATTTATATTTAAATAGATCTACAAGAAGCATATAATTTGGTATACATTAAAAAAAGAGATGAATTAAAGACAATATTTTAAACCATTTATGGACATTTTGAATATAATGTCATATCTTTTGGACTCAAAAATGCCTCAAACACTTTTCAACATCTTAAGAATGATGTCTTTTAAGAAATTTTTGATGATTTTATTGTCTATTATTTAAATAATATCTTAATCTATTCTAAAAATAAAAAGTGTATGAATTTTATATTCATTATATGCTACAAAAACTAAGAGATATATAATAATATGCCAAAATAGAAAAATGTGTATTTTACACTATTCAAGTTGACTTCTTAGGATATATTATTTCAAATAATGGCCTTATTATAGATCCTAAGAAAGTTCAAAATATCATAAATTAGAAGGTTTTAAAAATAATAAAAAATATCTAATATTTTTAAAAATTTACTAATTACTATCAAATCTTTATTAAGAACTTTTCTCAAGTTATAGTTCTACTTATACATTTGATATATAAAGAAAAACTTGTGTGGAGTATAGAAGTAAGAGTAATTTTTGAATCTTTAAAGATAATATTTATTTATGCACCAATCTTGTATTGTGTTAATTTTTTCAAAGCATCTTTCATGAAAATAAATGCAATAGATTTTATTTTGAATTTCATATTATTAAAAATAAAAATATATAAAAAATTCTATCCAATTACTTTTGATATGGGTTTATATATTTTAAAAGACAAAATATGATTACATGTTTTTTGAGCTTGTCACACCTTCTTAACAATGAGATATTTTAGATACAATAAGACTTTGAAGCTAATATCTAGAGATTTTTGGTGCCATCAAATATAAAAGGTAGTTAAAAACTTTGCACAATCATGTGATATTTATTTAAGAGAAAAAATTCCTTATCATCAACCTTATCGACTTCTTCAACCATTGCCTATAT